CACAGACCCTGATCTACAGGCACATTATGCTACAGCAGATGAGGATCTTTATTGTATGAGTATGCTTGCCCCTTACAGGTAACAATATAGCTGGTTTCACACGATATAATGTATATTGTTTCCAAATCAATAAACAGTTATATATAACTATCCCTTACATTTAAAATTCATGAAAATCTTAATCTACTTTAACCAATTAGTGATATTAATTAAAACATTTTATTCAATATAAATTTTCAATGACTTAAGATTATATACAATGATTATCTCTGCCTTTCAAGCACCAAACCCCCATATGAAAGTGCCCATCCAACTCCAAAATGTCTAACAATTTAGTATGTCTTCACAAACACAAAGTATGCATAAACTTTCAAAAATAAATTTTTTAACTGTGGTTAAATGATTAAATACATATTTATGAAGTTCTGCAAAAGTCCAAGATTTTGTTTGGTAATTATCTCAACCACTAACACCAAATGGAATACATTTATACCTATATATACTTATAAAATATCCATAAATTAAGTCATTAACATCCAGCTCACTAAATTGCATAATATTTTTAAATAAAATTTGACTCAACATTTTCAAGCATGGTATATTGTTCTAAGTTATTAAGTTATTAATTTAAAATATTTTCCAACGCATCTCTTGGTTATTTTCAGTCATTCAAATTGCTGACCAGTTGACCAATTTGTAACAACTGATGCATGTATATGAACATAACTAGCCAAAATATTAAAAGTCTGTGGTGATTTATACATTGACCTCAACCCTTTGTTTCATTCAGCACACTCAGCACTGTTAAAAAGAAAACTGCATTGTTGGTATCCCTCATTAAAGTTGACCCAATTAGTACACCCTAATTATCTATTCAATCACTTCTCTTCACATGAGTGAATCCAACCCTAATATAAAATGTGTGTGACCCCACAAACAAGCTACTTTTGTTTCTTCCTCTTTAAAATTCCATAAAAGCACCTTGGCATTGTAGAAAATCAATAATGCAAAATGTGGGACAGAGGTATGGCCTCTACAATGGAGGGCAAAAAAGGCTGTACAAGATGAAGGATTATGAATTCTGTTTAATTATTATAACAATCTAAGTTTTCCACTTTTCCTCAAAATCTAGAGTGCAGCACATTTGTAATACCAAAAAGGATGGTCTCATTGATTTACATAATTTACATAATTATACCAAAAATTTTTAACTTTTTTCCCCAAACTGAAATATTTCATTTTTGTCACATTTTGGAGACTTTTGTGATGAAGGGGTAAAGAGATATGAATAATCTTGTCAAAACAGAGAAATAAAGTTAAAAAAATCATCTTTAATGAATTTATGTTGTTTGTCATTAAATAACTGAATTACATTTATACTGGAGCCCAGAGTGGCCAATTGTTCTAAAGTGCTCACCAATAGGATCACTGCTATCTCAGCCCTGTCTGCATGGGTTCCTGTCTCTGGCTCAGCCAATGTAAGTGAGAAAGCTTGTAGGTATCTTCTGGTGTGTTGGTGGTTCTTTCCAGGGGTTTACCCCAGTTCTTCCTCCACCATGTATACTGACCACCATTTACAGCCTATCTTCTGCTGGAAAATGGCATTAAACCCTATACCAACAACCACATATTGATACTTATAAATCAAATCAAACTGCAAAGAACAAAGACCCTGATTTGCCCTAACATAATAAGCCTGCAGATCAGGGTCTATTCTGTTTGATCTGATTGCTCCTATTAAACTGCACATACCCTGATCTGTCATCACATAGTGCAATATCATGCTTTGTACTGGCATTGTTTCACTCAGTAAAACAGTAGTGGTAGTGATGATGGTCACTGTTGGTGATGGGGGCAGGGGGTTCGCTTTGCTCTGAATGGTTTTTCAGCTTTATCTTGCTGATGAAACAAAATCTAAGTACTTTTCCCATGGAAACATTAACACATCAACACCTGGTGCCAATTATGTGGCAGGAGGTAATAGCCTACTTCTGAGCTCTGTAGTGGCAAAGTCATGTATGATATAATAAAGTGGATGGTATTATACAAAGGTAAACAGATGTAGCTTTACAATGATACCAAATAATGTGGATGTTCAAGTTACACTACAAAATACAAAGGGAAAAACATAACTTTTTGGACCCAAGTTTCTTCCACCCAAAATTCACCCAAGGCCAGAATATAACTTTGTGTCCAGATTTTAGACTTTTTCACCTCAGATCTAAGACAGACTGGTCTGAACTGCACCCAGAGAGGCACACCTTTGCAAAAAGTAGGATAAGATGAGCATTTGGAATAAAGAGTGATCTTGATAAGTCCGTTAAGTCAAAAAAAAAAGACTAACTTTTACCCTTCTGTTCATGCATGGGAAGAATGGCCAATGAAAAATGATGTTTTTAACACAACTAGGCATTAGGTTAACTGAAAATCTCTTTGAGGTCGATGTATTAGGATGTATTCAGAAATAGCACCCAAAATGTGTTTCCTACTCGCATTTCTGGAGAAAACAACAAAAACCTCAAGGGGTTAATGTGCTAAGGATGCTGATCTAAGTGTGAAGTTGTTACTCAAGAGCACTTTCATATAAACAGTAAAGTCAAATGCATATCAACAGAGTAATTAGAAATAAGAAAGCAAGTATAGGTAAATTTTAATTAACTTTTGATGAAGCAAAACTTTCATGAAAATGAAAAAAGTTAAAGATAGATGGATGCACAATCAAAGTGTGATGAATGTCTTAACAATGGTTCCAAGACAAAACCCCTTGGGCATAACAAAACACCCCACCCATCTTATCCGCCCCAAATGATAATACACCATAAGTTATATACATTTAAATGGCAACAGTTAAATAAAAGTTTACACTATCTTAACACTAATGGATAATTCTTCAAAACAGCAGAGCACTATGCTTAATATAAAATGTTTAAAAAATGTAAATGCCTTTATATTAAAGCTATTATAGATGTTCCGTACAAAAAAGACAAAGCTATTACCACAAGTGTGTTATATCTCACCATATTTTATAAAAAATGTTGTGTGCAATGAATATTAAGTGTTGTTAAACATTTCTAATGACAAAGTCCCAAGTCAAATTAACAATGCTTATATTGCAATCACCACTGGACTTCTTGGAGGGTCCAGTTGCTCCCTGCAAACATCTGTGTGCAGTGAATAACATTTCTTTTTTTACAACAAACAAAAATTTCATATATTGGGATGGAAACAACAAATGAAACTGCCAGCCCTCACCCACATTATTGCTCAATCAATTATGTTCCTAATTGTAATATCAAAAATCAGGTTTGTCATCCTTGCATCTGTTGTCCACCAATGTATATCTCTTCAAAGTATTCTAGGATACATCAGAAGCAGGACTTGATCATAAAATGTCCAACAATTGCTCAGCTTTTGGCAGGCACATACAATGGTTTAAATGCCTGAAGACATGTCTGCTTCCTTTCTCTTTCTTTTGCCTCTCTCCTGACTGGAAATATGATGATAAAACTTGGAGGCAAGCCAAGAGAAAGACAGAGGGGGAAAAAATAATTCCCACAGACAGGGGAAATTTCAAGTGAAGCATAATAATGAATCAGTGTAAATAATTTTGGACATCTGAATTACCTCCAGTTTCATTCTTGTCAAGGTATACTGGCCATGCAATGCCATGCAGCCCTGAAACAAGCACTGTCCTAGGCTAGTATGCATTTTGCAAAAGAAGTTTTTACAAATGCTTGGTTAAAACATGTGCTATATGGAAAATTCAAAATGGATGACTCCCAAAATGATTCATCTGCAGATGACCATTTCATTTAGCAAATATTGGCTAATGAAAGTGATGATGACACTCATTTTGAAAGTTGATTATTGGAGCTGGGAAGAAGTTACTGGAAATGGAATAAATGTCTTTGGGTCCAAAAATAATGCTGAATACCTGACTGATGTACATGCAGGCAAGACAAAAACAGATGGCAGGCAAAACAAAATCAGACAGCATTCCAGTGGTATATTGAAATTAAATACAGAAACATAGAAAATACCAACCCTGTAAACTATTTAAGGCTATTTTTATAAGGATTTATTACATTTGATCACATGTCAAACAAATCTTTTTGCAGATCAGATAACAAATGTTGCAAACTCATGAACATGAGCTGAATGAGAAAATGGAATTCAATCACACCTGGCAAACTGATGGTTATAGACTTTTGAATCTTGTACAGACATCTGATAAATTTTACTGGGTAGGTGAATATGTGGTATCAACCCCATACTTTAGCAAAACAATAGGAGTACTGTATATACTCACTTATAAGGCAAATCCAACTGCAAACTGCACAGACCCAGATCTGTCCTTGTATAATGTACAGGCAGATCTGGGTCTGGGCAATTTGTTAGGAGTAATCAGTACAGCAAACAAAACAGACCCTGATCAGCAGGTATTTTATGATTATGATCAGGATCTTTGTTTTTCTTGCAAAAATCTAACTCAACTGATTAGCAAGTATACACAGTAAAGACATACTTTTTAATATTCTGAACAAGTAACTATGCATTCCCATAAGTGGACGTGGACACAAGACCACAAAAACATACACTACAATAAAGAACAAGACAATTTTTGTGGTTGTTTATTATAGATTATTGGGATGTAAACTCTGTGGTTTACCTTGAATGGATTTTTATTAACTGTTACCTATTCAACACCTGTGAATTTCACAGCTTGGATATAAAGTTGCAACAGAAATAGTGTACAGTGTGTTTTGTTGGAGTCCCAATTATTAAAGTATTTTAGAGATATAAAATAAAAAGGGAAGGCAGGGAAGTGGATTTTTAATGTACCTTTAAGAATTTTTCAGTCATTCTGCTATGATATCTGTAGTGTGGCAGTTTATAGTGGTGATGTCTAGCACTGGGACATCATGCCACAGACTAACGAATTTTTTATGCTGAGTGTCATGTGAGGCAGCTGCAAGTACCACTGTTATAAGTCTTTGGAATGACTTTGTCGGGATTTGAACCCGTGACCTTCCACATGAGAGGTGGATGCTCTGACCACTTAGGCCACTGGAGCAGTTGCCATAAACAAAAATAAACTTCATACTTGAATATTCATTATTTATAATGGGTTTGTGTATCTATTATATACCATACTAAAAATATAGGTAATTGAAAGGCAATTTTTATTTATTTTCTCTTAAAACAACTCTGCCCTGAGATTTATTACAATGTTACTCTTGAAAGAACAAAAATTTATATATGCAGTTAAATCCACAACTTTCATCATGTATTTTAGCATGTATGTCCTTTCATGTAAATACATATTTTCATTTTAAAAAATGTGAATCATGGTTTTTTTTGTTTTTAGTAGAGTACCTGAAGAGAGATTAGTTTGTCTTTAACTAAATAAGTTACTATCTTTAAATAAGGATAATAATAATAATAATAATAATAATAATAATAATAATAATAATAATAATAATAATAATAATAATAATAATAATAATAACAACAACACCACAAAACGTCTCTTCAAGTGTAATATGTGTACTTCATTGTGGTATAAATAAAACTTCAGTATATCCAGGTAGTACATATACTTTATTACTGTCCTATCACATTGTGGAACAGACACAATAAAAGTATATACAATCACTTATAAACTGCAAACAACAAATATCCTGATCTACTGTATCCTAATGTATCTGAATATTAAAGTCTGTATCCTAATGTATCTGAATATTAGGGTCTGTATCCTAATGTATCTGAATATTAGGGTCTGTATCCTAATGTATCTGAATATTAGGGTCTGTATCATAATGTATCTGAATATCAGGGTCTATGTCAAACTAAACAGAACTAAATCTGCCAGTGCATTATGCAGCTGGACTCATCTTATAAGCTAGTAATGATGGCATACAGTGGATTCTTTAACGATAAAGTTCTATAGATGGATCACAGCTGTACATTTTCCATAAAATATTCTGGAAAAAGGCTGGAATACCAAGTTGGAAATCATGAAAAACCCTGGGAAAGTGCAAAATTAAATATTTTGCAGAATTTATCCTGAAAAACCTGAAAAGCATGCAAAAAAGAAATATTTTGCAGAATTTATTATGAAAACCCTGGACATTATCCTTGAAAAAGGCTGGACATGCTTGGAAAAGTATGGACAGTGGGCTTATATTATTTTTATATATTTTAACATGGAAAAACCACAGGAAAAAAAATTGTCAATTTTCAAGATATGTACTTCTTATTATTTATCATTTCTTCTGGTTGGAGCCCCAAGTGGCCTTCGTGTAGTCCAAAGCAAGTGTGGTCCAAATCAGTCTAAAGCCGATCACTGCCATCTCACCTCTGTCTGTGTGAGTTCTAGTCCAGAGCTAACGTGGGTAAGTGAGAAAGCCTGCAAGTAGCTTCTCGTTCTTCCCTGGGTTTTCCAGGGTTCTTCCTCCACCATAAATACTGGCTGCTATGTATAGCCTATTTTATGCTGAAAATGTTGTTAAACCCAACAACAACACGAAAAAAAATCATTTCTTCTGCTCAATTGATTAGTCACCCATGCAAAAAAAATCTCATAAATTCTAACAAGCTTTTTCTAAGCTGCAGATGAGGACCTGGTTAACAATATATGAAACAGGATAGACCCTGTAAGCTTATTTGTTAGATTTGACCAAGGAAGAACTAAAAAAATTTTCATGTGAATATTTTGGACGAATCCAAGTTGACACATTTTTTTAAAAATTTCAAAGTTGGATTTTTTCATCTGTGTGCTTAAGGCATGATATGGAGGTTAATGTCAAAGAGAAATTTCACTGGAATAAAAGACAAGATTCTAATGTGTGTGTGCCTCATCTCCACAGTGTATTCAATCTTTTACAGCTCTCTCAAGAAAATTAAGTGTTAAACAATTTCGGGCAACAAATGTAAAGAAACAACTTTACGTTAATGATGCCCTCGATTAAATCAATTTAATTTATATTTTTATTTCCACTAATTCCATTTTGTTTTATTTTTACCAGATTTATACATTTCTGACTGTGGTTAATAATAATAATAATAATAATAATAATAATAATAATAATAATAATAATAATAATAAAAATAATAAAAATAATAATAATAATAATAATAATAATAATAATAATAGTAATAATAAAAAAACTTTTTTAATTATACATTTAAATAAATAAATATGATTTTATTGTCTTACAATATCAATGTAAATATTTATGTAATGATTTTATTTCCTTACAATATCAATGTAAATATTTATGTAATGATTTTATTTCCTTACAATATCAATGTAAATATTTATGTAATGATTTTATTTCCTTACAATATCAATGTAAATATTTATGTAATGATTTTATTTCCTTACAATATCAATGTAAATATTTATGTAATGATTTTATTTCCTTACAATATCAATGTAAATATTTATGTAATGATTTTATTTCCTTACAATATCAATGTAAATATTTATGTAATGATTTTATTTCCTTACAATATCAATGTAAATATTTATGTAATGATTTTATTTCCTTACAATATCAATGTAAATATTTATGTAATGATTTTATTTCCTTACAATATCAATGTAAATATTTATGTAATGATTTTATTTCCTTACAATATCAATGTAAATATTTATGTAATGATTTTATTTCCTTACAATATCAATGTAAATATTTATGTAATGATTTTATTGTCTTACAATATCAATGCAAATATTTATGTAATGATTTTATTTCCTTACAATATCAATGCATACATATTTTACCCCCCCAAAAAAAATGGGAGGATCAATTTTTTAGTTTTAAAACATCTATTTAATTTTTTGCTCTTCTTATCATCAGACACATTATACCTGTCCTGATTATTATTACTGTTAAGTGATGTTGTGAATAATATGAATTTTTATCATTATGATTATTATTTTTATTATTATTATTTTTATTATTATTATTATTATTATTATTATTATTATTATTATTATTATTATTATTATTTATGCTGCAAAAAAATAGTTATTCTCATAAATACAAACTTTAAAATGCTAAAAATAAAAATGTAGACATTAGCTTTTCCTGATACAAACCCACCCAATTCTGCCTGCAGTCAATAAAGAATTAAGCTTTATAAAAAAAGAAAAAAAGATAATAAAATCACACAAGATCAAATGCAGTTTTCCCTGGCATAAGCCTCATTCAGAAAATATACCTTAATTGAAGTTATTTCCCTTGATGACAGTTTTGAAGACTGGTGAGTTATTCAAAGAAAGTACTACCACCAGAGCCTTGTTTTGAAAAAAAGCTCCATTATAATACTGAAATGTCACAACCTAGCTCATTAATTCAAGAAATTTTATTGCAAGCAATACCAATACATGTTCAGCAACTGATCCAAGAACCTCCAAAATAATTTAAAATTACAGAGTGATCATGTTGGTGAGTAAAATCAAGACTCTCTTCCATTTTGTCTGTTTATGCGACTCTAGTTTGGGGAGGGGGTGCCACTGTAGGGCCTCATTTTCAAACATGCTCCATTTTTATGAGAACCATGGCATCAACATTTAGCTCGTCAATCTGGGAAATGTTATTGTAAGCAATACCAATAGATATACAGCAACTGATCCCATTACCCTGGATAGAATTTAAAATCCATGTTGGTGAGTAAAATCAATCAAGACTTGCATCTGGTGTATGTTGTACTGTTGCTGTGCAGTTTTCCCCATACGATTTAATACACCAAATGAGATGACTTTGTTTTCCTGCTTCATGTAATCATTACCACAATATGTTTGCAGACCATAATTATTTATGGCTGTGCCTGCCAACTATCTACAATAAGGTAATGAAATTTGCAAGTTACATGCAAGCTTCTTAATCTAATTTCCATTTTTATTTGGGCTTTTTCCTTCTGGTGTATCAAATTCAAGAATTGTTCACAGGTCACTGCATCTATTTTTTAAATTGTAAAGAAGATGGCAGTCATATTTCAAAGGTCTTAGGTATCAAGTGAGCAATTTCATCTCTTATTTTGTTTAAAGATTCAATCGACATATGTCAAAACCCTTTCAAAATGGAGGCTAAAACTAAACTTTAGGATCTCTTTAAATGATGGTCATGTGTCTAAGACCTGTGAAGTGATTTTTTAATGTTAAACTAAATAATTGTATGTTTTTGACAAACAAGTCAATTTTTTTGCCTTGGATACATTGTACATGCTGCTGCAATCAATTTCAGTGGATTGTACCAGAATCTTACAAAAAGCAGGAAGGATGCAGGATTTTATTCTGCAATGGTAATTCAAATGGTTAATATTCTCATTTTTCACCTAATATTGTACATTGTTAACCAATGGACTGGGGATCCTGTCAGGATCTCAGCAAGATGAAAATTATTTTCTACTGAAATGTCATTTCCGTGAAAAATTTGCTAGGTTTTCCAACCAAATAATATTTTTGTCCTGGTCAATATTCCAAAATTTTTAATGCCAATATTCCAAGGTTTTCTGTAGTTTACCAGCCTATCCTGAATGGAGACTGAAATATTAGTCCAAATACTCTATGGTTTTCCATTTTTTGAATTTTCCAGGGTTTTCCATGCAAATATTCCAGGGTTTTCTTAAGTTTTCCTGCCAACCCTGGACAGAACCTGGAATATTCGTTGAAATACTCCATAGTTTACAATGCTAAAATTTTCCAGGGTTTTCCATGCCAATATTCCATGCCTGGGTTTTCTAATCTACCCTGGATTTAGCCTGGAATAGTAGTCCGAATAGTAATCCAAATACTCCATTGTTTGCCAGGCTAGATTTTTCCAATGTTTTATATGCCATTATTACATGCTTTCCTTGTTCTTTTCCTTGAGTTTACCAGCCCACCCTTGAAGGAGCCTGGAATACTTTAGTCCATATCCTCCATGGTTTTCCATGCTAGAATGTTCCATGGTTTTTTCCTGGAATACCATGTAAAATCTAAAGCCAGGATAAGTGTGTGTGTGTGTGTGTGTGTGTGTGTGTGTGTGTGTGTGTGTGTGTGTGTGTGTCAGTGCATGC